CGTCTCTCTGGGGTCCACGGACCGCCCCGCTGGCTCGAGGGCAGGTGCAGGAGCACGGTGCTCGCAGGGCCCATGGACCAGGGTGGTTTAGGCAGTGATTCCCAGGGGCATCGGCCAGGGAGCCTGGCACACGGCTGCAGGGCAGGGAGGCGCGTGTGAGCATTATGGGAAGCGCAGGGGCGAGCTGGGCCGACGGGAGCAACTGCCGACACTGCTCACCCATCCAGCCACCCCTGGAAGTGGCGGCTTGGGCCCCACATGGGAAAGAAGAACGCCCTGAACCGAACGCGCCTCACACCAGCGAGTCTGCGGGAGGATCTCCAGCTGCGGCTGCAGCTCCTGGCTGCTCCAAGCAGAGCCTGGGCCAGGGGCTGCTCTGCTGCAATTGGATACGTTGCACCCGCACCGGGGCCCGGGGCTCCGTGCAGCTCCCAGGTGGCCAGAGTCGTGTTCGGGGGGGTGACTCCTGGACCCAGGGAAGGGGGAGACCCCTGCTCCCCCCCATCCCACGCCGGGCCAGTGCCCCTGGAAGAGCTGCAGGCACAGGCCCCTTCCTGTGCCCAGCTGATCCCTCTGGTCTCCATGCTGGCCCTTGTGTGTGGAAGGCAGCAGACCCCCCTGCCCTGGAGCAGGGCAGCGATGAGTAACCAGAGCCTTTGGTGCAGGCGAGCGTCTGCTGCTGGGCCACCGTGTTCTTGGCAAGGGCCGCGCCGTGCTGTGCAGCGCCCGGCGCGGGAGCACGGGCAACGACCCGTGCAGCTCGTCCAGAGACGCAGAGCAAACGGGCAGCAAAGTCAGGGGTGGGACCCAGGCATCCAGCACTCCAGCCAGCTCCGCTGGGTCACTGCAAAAGGAGAGGCGGCAGCGACTCGGAGCCCAGCAAAAGGTTTTATTGAAGGACAAACCGTCCCGACAGCAGAAGCAAACCCGCCAGACACGCGCCCACGGGTGCAGAATGAGCGCCTGGTGCTGCCGGGGCAGCGCCCTCCTGCTCCCGCTGCAAGCAGCAGCCGGGGCGTGGGACAAGCCCCAGACCTTTCAGAGGGGCGTTTTGAACAGCACCAGGGCTCTGAGGCCGTGCGTGCAGCTGGTAGATGCGAGGGGGAAGGGAGGCAGGAATCGGGGCTGAATCAGGGCTCCGAGGTGGGCTTTGCACAGACCATGGGGACGGCGAAGCCCGCCTGGGCGGCAGGGACGGGGACGCTCTGCGATGCACCCCCAGACCTGCAGGCCTGGCTCTGGCCACCCTGAAAGCCCCCGTGGAGAGGCTGAGCATGGAGCCCTCCCGTCACGGACACGCGCGAGCTGCCAAGAGCAACGCGGCACTCGGGGCAAGGCCTTGCACACGCTGCCCCTCTGGCTCCCTGCTCCCGCGGGGCCGAAGGGGGACCACTCGGTGCTGCGCGGCAAGCGGGGCCGAGCCGGACAGCGCGTCGTATGGGGCCGGCCAGGCTGCAGAGCCTGCAGCGTGCCCTGCGCAGCCGCCCCCCTCCTGCTCCGGCTCCCCGCCTCCCGCAGCCATTCCCACGGGGAGACCCATCACTCAGCTTCTTCCGAATCGTACTTGAGGTCCTGGAGAATTTCGCTGATTGCCTCAATGGTTTTAATTAGCCTAGGAGAGCGGATGGAAACTATAAATAAAGCCCATATGGAGCGTATTATCTCGGCCGCCTCGCGCTCCCCGCGCTGTTTATGAAACACTCGGCCCGGGAGAGGCGGGCGGCGGCAGAGCCAGGCAGCATCGCTAAACAATCCGGAGGGGCCACAAACAGCCGCGCTTTGAAGGCCCCATCTGGGTCTCCTTGAGCCCTGGCGCGGGGTGGGGGGCACGGCTGGGGGAGGCGCTCTCCTTCCCCCTCGCTCCAGCCCCGCAGCGCAGGGATGATAAAGGGGCTGCCAGGCCCTGGCGCGGCGCATGCCAAGTCCACCCGCCCCCGCCCCCTGCCAGAGCCCCGGGAGGCCCGGCAGGAAGCTTGCGCCTCCCTTGCCCTGGCCCACCCCGTCGGGCACGCACGTCACCCGGCCTGGAGGGGCTCGCGCTGCTGAGCAGCCATGCGCCCCTGCCCCGGGGCGGTGGAGATGCGGGGCGCTGGGTTGGGACAGCACTTACTTGTGCTTCAGCTCCCGCACCTCCTGCTGATGAGCCTCCACCCCGGGCTGGTCCTGCGCGTTCTGCTTGGCGAGCTGCAGCTGGGCCGTCTGCGGGGACAAGGCAGAGGACGCTGAGCTCCCCGCAGCAAGGAAGCCCCAGGACCTGAACGTGGGGTGGGAGGAGCCCCAGGGACCAAGGAGCCAGGTGCTGCAGGACGGGGTGTGTCGGCAGGAGAGCTGGGGGTCGAGCCGGTTCAGCGTCGCCCTGACCTCGCCGGCCGGTGCCCACAGCCCCATCAGCGCGGCTGCGGGTCAATGGGGCTGCGGAGAGTGGCCAGCTCGGAGGCTGCACCTGCCTGACACCCAGCACCTGGGCAAGCACCGCACCGCGCCGCCCCTCTCCGCGCCCCCCGCCCTGGCCGTGCCTACTTTTTGGGCACCTCAGGGCCCTGGTCTCCGCTGGGCTCCTGCAACCACCCAACGGTGATGGAAGCTGCTGCCCTTTTGTGGCCTGCGTGAGATGAGTTTAGTGGGCCCCAGCCCAGCAGCCCAAAGATGGGGTTGGCAGGGAGGGGAGGGAAGGGGAGGGGGAGGGAGGCTGCGTTGTTGCTGCCGCAGCCCCAGGGAGGGAACGTGGCCTCTCACCAGCTCCAGCTTCTCCTGCTCCTTCTGCTGGACTCGGGCCAGGTGCTGGGCGAGCTCCGGGCGCCCGTGCTGCTCCTCCAGCCGCCCCTTGATCTGCAGGATCTCCCTGGAGATGCCGCTGAAGGCCAGCGTGATCTCATGCACCAGTTGGCGGTAGCGCAGGAAGTCGTAGTGCGGCCCGCTGCTCAGGTACGCCTGGTGCCCCCTGCGAGTCGGGGCCGGGGGAGACAACAGTCAGATGCAGGCAAGGTCTCCCCCCCAGTAGCAGAAGAGCCCCCGCTTCCTTGGTGAGCCGTCGATGGCCCTGCAGAGCAAACGCCAGGATGCAGGAGGACAGCGGTGCTGCAACAAGCTGGGCTCAAACCTCAGCTCTGCCACCACCTCCCTGTGCGACCCTGGGCACCTCCCTTAGCCCTTCCAGGCCCTGCTCCCAACCCTGTGCTGAGCTGTTTGGGGTTATCAGCTCCCCCGGTGCCAGCAAGAGCTGGGCTTAGGAGCCCTCCAAGGGCAGCAGGGCTCTGCCCAGCCCAGCCCAGCCCAGCCCCAGGGGCTACACGAGGAGCGAAGCCCTCTCCCCTACACTCTGGGTGACCTCTGCAGTCTGCGTTCAAGGTATTTTCCTGTTCCTGCCTTTCACCAGCATTATTGAATTAGCAGCGATTACCTCCGCTGGCTGCCTCTCCCCAGGAAGGGCTCGTTACCGTGAATTATTAGCAGGCCCCATGGCTTAACCTCCGCTGGCTGGGTCTGGGGGCTCGGGTCGGGTGGGGGTTTTCAAAGCCAGGGCCCGGATCCCGGGGAGTAAATCATCCCCGTCTGCGGCTCAAATACAACACAGGTGCCTGGGGCGGCGCTCCCCTGGTCATCTGGAGTTCATCAGCAGCCCGGGGCGGCCCGTGGCTATGGGGTCCTCACCCGCCAGGACGGGGGTAGAACCGGGGTTTGGCGACGGGCCCCGCAACCGAGGCAGGCTGCGCCCCAGAGCGCGAGACGGACCCCCTCCCCGTCGCGCTTTGTGCCAGGAGGGCCCTGCCCAGCCGCCCTGGGCTCGCGAGACCTTCTCGGGGATGGGCAAGAGCTCTGCGCCCCCTTGGCCCGCCGGCTGCACGTCCGCCAGCCACGCACTCCTGCGTGGCTCGGGCACGCGGGCTCGGGGCGGTACTTACTCCTCGAAGAGACGATAGGCTTCCACCCGCTCGCCCTGCAGGGCGTAGAAGCGTCGCAGCAGTGCCTGCACGTCGTCGTCCGTCTGCGGGGGAGAGGGGGAGCGTGAGCCGGTGCCGGCCCGGGCTCGGGGACCCCC